CATCAACAGTGTTGTAGTACACCCTCCATCCAAGGTCCCTCCTCGTGGACCCCTACAACAATTCATTTCCACTGAGGGAAGTGCCCCGTTGGAGGACAATCGTGCGAAAATCCTGAAGCGTGCCAAAACACCACTCCCAGGACTTCAACGCCACGAATCAACCTGACTCTTGCGTCTTGACGATCTTGCATTGTGCCAGAAGGTTATTCCTGGATTCCAACACGAGTCAACGTAACTGTTGCGCCCTGGTAGTTTTGAGTCGATTCAAAATTGTTTCTGGTACGTTAACTACAAGAATCATAAACGTGTTGTAAATGCGTGCAACGAATGTGCGCGACGCTGAGGCGAGAGCCACATTTTGAAAAGGAGCTGTCCTCAATTCGCGAATCTCTTGCATTTTTTACGACGCACGTGCGCGGTGCTACGGCGAGAGCCACATTTTGAAAAGGAACCGTCCTCAATCTGTGAAGCTCTTGCACATTTTTTAAACAGGTGTGCGCGGCGCTTAGGCGGCATACGCATTTTCAGGTTTGATGACGAGTCGCCCTCAATCCTTGAAGCTCTTGCAAAGTCTTCTGCGCGGCGCTACTGCGAGCGCCGAAGTTTGAAAACAATCCGCCCTCAACCCGTGAAACTCTTGTAATTTTTCGGACGAGTGTGCGCGGCGCTAAGGGGAGAGCCACATTTCGAAGACGGCCCCCATCAACCCGTGTACTGTTTGCAAATGTTTAAAACAAGTGCGCTGCGCTAAGCCGAGAGCCACATTCTGAAAATGACCCGCCCTCCATTGGTAAAACCATGGCATTTTTTCAAACGAATGTGCGCGGCGCTAAGACGAGAGCCACATTTTGGAAGCGACCCGCCCTCCATCTGTGAAGCTGTCGTCTGTTTTTAAGCTTGAGGCCCTTTGAATGGTACGGAAGTCTCAGGCAGAACGCCCGGCCCGCCCTTCCGACTGGCTTCGGGGTGCGAAAGGGGAGGGGCCATTCATAGGAAAAAGGAATGGTGGTGGAGGAGGAGGATGTGGAGGAGGTGGAGTAGGAGGAGAAGGAGGACCAGTGTAAGCCCAAGACCCATCAGCGATGTTGAAATACACCCTCCAAGGTCCCTCCTCATAGGCCCCTACGAGGGGTCACTTCCACTGAGAGAACTGCCCTGTTGGGGGACAACCGTGTCAACATCTTGAAGCGTGCCAAAACACCACTCTCAGGACGTCAACGCCACAAGTTAACCTGACTGTTACGTCTTGGCGATCCTGAACAGTGCTAGAACACCATCTCTGGAACTGCACCACCGCAAATCAACGTACCTGTTGCGCTCTGGCAATCCGCATGTGGCCGCACCCACGGTAGCCTCAGGTGGAGCTACCTATGAGGCCACGAATCGTGTGAATGGTGTGCCGAAGTGGACATGCGGTGGGCGGGGAGCGCGGCGCTAAGGCGCGAGCCACATTTTGGAAGCGAACCGCCCTCAATCCGTGAAGCTCTTGTACATTTTTCAAGCGAATGTGCGCGGCGCTACGTCGAGAGCCGCATTCCGAAAACCACCCGCCTTCAATCCGTGAAGCTCGTTGCAGATTTTGAAAACGAATGTGCGCGGCGCTAAAGCGAGAGCCACATTTTGAAAACGACCCGCCCTCAATCCGTGAAGCTCTTGACGAATGTGCGCGGCGCTAAGGCGGGATCCACATTTTGGAAACGACCCGCCCTCCATCTGTGAGACCGTTGTCAGTTTTAAGCATCAGGGTCATAAGTGGTGAGGAAGTCTCAGGCAGAACGCCCGGCCCGCCCTTCCGACTGGCCTCGAGGTGCGACAGGGATGATTTATCTATAGGGAAACGCAATGGAGGAGGAGGAGGAGGAGGAGGAGGAGGAGGAGGAAAAAGAGAGAAGGATGAGGAGGGGGATGATGATAATGATGATGATGATGATGATGATGATGATGATGAAGATGATGATGATGCTGATGATGATGATGAACATGATGATGCTGATGATGATAATGCTGCTGATGATGAAAATGATGATGGTACCGATGATGATGCTGATTGCGATGACGATGATGATGCTGATTATGATGATGATGATGCTGACGATGGTAATGCTGATGATGATTCTGAGGAGTAGGAGGAGGAGAAGGAGGAGAAGGAGGATGCGGAACGCGGAACGAGGAATATAATGTTGCTGATGATGCTGCTTATGATGATGATGATGATGATGATGATGATGATGATGATGATGATCAAGATGATGATGATGATGATGATGATGATGATGATGATGATACTGATGGTGATGATGGTGATGATGGTCCTGACGATGCTGATGAAGAAGAATACCATAATGATGATGATGCTGATGATGATGATGATGCTGATGGTGCTGATGACGATGATGATGGTGATGATGATGATGATTATGATGATGATCATGATGATCATGATTACAATGATGATGATGACGATGATGATGATGATGCTGATGATGCTGATGATGCTGAT